GGTAGAGCGCTAGCCTTGAGCTGAAGAGCTGAGGGACAGCGCCCAGGACCAGAGTTCAGGCCCCACGACCAGACCTCCCAAAAAATAAAAAATAAATAAAAATAAAAGGTAAAACTCTCTGTGGGCACCAGTGACTTTCACCTATAATCCTAGTTACTCAGGAGGGTACTGAGGATCTAGTTCAAAGCCAGCCTGAGCAAGAAAGTCCATGAGACTCTTCAATAAACTACCAAAAACCTGGAAGTAGAGCTGTGGTGTCCTTGAGCAAAAAACCTCAAGGATAGCACTCTGGCTCTGAGTTCAAGCCCCAGGACTGGCACATACATGCATACACAAACACGCACAGGCATGCACACGCACGCGCGCACACACACACACACACACACGGCAGGGTGGTATGAACCTATCATCTTTGCTATGGTCAGAAGCATAAATTAGGAGGACCAAGCTCCACACCAGCTCATTTGGGGGAAGAAAAAAAAAAAAAGAGATCTATTCAAGTGGCTGAGTGCCTACCTAGCAAGCTTGAGGCTCCCAAGTTTAAAAACAGACAGAGCTAGGAATGACAGTACAGGCACGTAACTCCAATACTCCAGATGCTAAAGCAAAGGAAGCATGAGTTCAAGGCCAGCTGGGCTACAAAGCAAAATCCTAACTCTGAAGGGAAAAAAAAAAGAAGCCAGGCACCAGTGGCTCATGCCTGTAATTCTAGCTACTCGGGAGGCTGAGACCTAGTTCAAAGCCAGCCCTGGAGGCAAAATCTGTGAGACTCTTATCTGCAATAAACCACCAGAAAACCATAAGTGGCACTGCGGCTCAAGTGGTAGTGGTAGAGCTGAAGAGCTGAGGGACAGCGCCCAGGCCCAGAGTTCAAGTCCCACGACCAGAAAAAAAAAAGGGGGGGGAATTACAAAGCACCAAGATAAAACAGGAGGAGGCCAGAGAACAGAGCGGCCTGCAAGGAGCAGAACCAGAAGGATTTGGGGTGACACTCACCTCATGATCTTTAGGGTTCTGATCTGTGAACATATCTAACACAGACTGTACATCAGCTACTTCATGAGGAAATAAACGAAGAAATATTTTATATCCTCGAACCTACCAAATACAATTAAAATTTGTATTAGGATGGGTGCCAGTGGCTCATATCTATAATCCTAGCTAAAGGAAGAGGAAAGAGAAGAGGAAAAAGAAAGAAGAACAAAGAAGGGAGAAGGGTAATAGAGAAGAAAGGAAAGTGGGAAGGGGAGGAGAGAGGAAGGAATAAGAAGGGGGACAGAAAAGGGAAAAGAAAATACAGGGGAGTAAAATTATCTCTTTCCTCTCACCAAAGAGATCCACCCAAGGATCAGAAAGAATTGTCACATTACTGTAATACAACTTGGTAAAGACCAAAGAAACAAGAAACAATCTTTCTTCCTGTTTATTCATTAAGTATGGTTTGTTCCAAAATGATAAACTTTATTGTGCTCATCAGAAATACAGATAGGCTGCAGCAAAGCCAAAACTTCTTCTACCTTGTTTGTAGACTATCCTCTGGACCCAGAAACCTCAGAGGTGTTCCTGTTCACACTTCTGAAGAACACCCAGTTTCTCTCGTCAGACAAGAACTTGTTCTTGGTACGGTAAATGGTGTACCCCAAGCACTACCTATCCCCCCACAGCCCAGTACACAACATCATCTGAGGCCTACAAAGAAGGCAGAGCACCAACCTGAGACCTCCTTCCTCAGAACCTGCATGCAGTGCAGCTGATTTCTAGAAGCTCATCTGCATGCTAAAGTGGGAGAAGCACCAAGCTTTTCTCCTTTTTCCTTGAGAAAACCTTTAGGTTCTATCTGAAGGAGTCTCCCCTCCCCATCCCCCAACTCCAGCACTAAGACCTAATTCCTCAATAAATGTTCAAAAGAGAGAATAAAACCTATAATGTCTGAGAACCATACTTCCTAAGAATTAACATTTTAGAGAGTAACTTCTGAGCCAAGATGTAAATAAAGTGTCTGTCACTCTGTAACTGCTACACAAATGTTACCTTGGTGATGATGTAAAGAAACTTAAACGCCAGGTTTTTGAGGGAAGTTGGAGAAGTCTTATCTTGTACTATGTCCAACAGCAAGTTCATCATCCACTCTACAGAAAAAGATATCAAACATTGGCTATAAAGTTAAACATCAATATATTGAAACAAAATACCAAAATAAAGAAGGTTTTATTGAGAGCATATGAATGGGCCAACTTAGTAAGCCTGTATAACCAAGTACCAATAGCACGAAAGGTCAAAAGATGCTCCCTTTGGTATTTCTAAAGGGTCTGCACCTCATACAACATTTGTTCCCATTTCGAAAATGGAAAAAACAAAAATTGATGTATTTTATACAACACATCTGGCTTGAATGTGTGTGTTAAAAGGAAAAAAACAAAAAATGGAGAGAGGAGTCACAGAGGGCTCAGAAATGTCCCCTACCCTGGTTTAGAACCGAGCACAAAGAAAGGGGTCATCATGTAGGGTCGTGAGTGTCTGTCCAAAGGGAGGCCACAGTCAGCGATCCCCTGTTGAAAGAGGTGCCATGTTCAGAGTCCAGTGCAGGGAGAGCAGTCACACAGCATGAGCCCAGTATGGGAACAAGGGTCATTCAGGATTCTACCATCTACTATCCACAAAGCCAGGTTTAGAGCACAGCACCCAGAAGGGGGTCCGCTCTGGCAGTTCTGAGTTCTGCTGCTGAACTCAGCCACCACAAACTAAGAGGAGCAGAAAGGCGTTCAAAACTAGTGCTCACGCCTATAATCCTAGCTACTCAGGAGGCTGAGAGCTGAGCATCGCGGTTCAAAGCCAGCCCAGGCAGGAAGGTCCATAAGACTCTTATCTCCTACTAACCACCGGAAAACCAGAAGTGACGCTGTGGCTCAAGTGGTAGAGCACTAGCCTTGAGCTGAAGAGCTGAGGGACAGCGCCCAGGCCCTGAGTTCAAGCCCATGACCAACAAAAAAAAAGGGGGGGGGGGCTTGAAGAGACTGAGTTAGCTGGTATTTGCAGATCATGTCTCAAAGGCAAAGCTACACACCACATAAGCTCCAGAAGTCTGCTGAAGCCCAGGAACCATAGATCATAGCTCAGTCTTCACAAACACAGGGTAGCCCACAGGGCTGGTGAAGGAACAAATCAAATACCAGGGAGAGCTGAGGAAACAGCTCTCCCACAGCCCATGTGCTATGATATTCCAAAAAGGCCACCTTTTCTAGATAAGACTAAGTTAGAGAAAACTAGAAGGAACACTGCCCTCACAAAGCCTAGAAAGTGGGCTGGGAAGGTGGCTCAGTGGTACAGTGCTTGCCTTGCATGCATGAGGCCCTGGGTTCGATTCCTCAGCACCACATAAGCAAAAAGAAAAAAGCCAGAAGTGGTGCTGTGGCTCAAGTGGTAG